CCATGAGCACCGATGCCTCTGCTGCAGGCCGGCGACGAGGAGCTGATTGCGTTTTGTACTTTTACCCGAAGGGTGACTATGCAAAAATATCAAGGCCCCACATGTCATAATCGAGGTTAAAATACATAAAACGGTTGATCAGTGTTTTCTGCAAAAGAGTAGGACTAAAATCAGTGTTTTCTGGCACAAATTCGTAGAAGAGTCTTTCCTGCAAACCTACACTTCAATATGGTGGTTTTTTGCAATTCACTCTTCATAGCCCGGTTTGAAGGTGCACTGGCTTTGGTTCCTGGTTGTGAATGACTGTGTGGGGGCACTATATCACGCGGCTCCAATACTTGTTGACTTGACCTTGACCTGGGTCTTGCATTTGTCGGTCGTCGTCACGGAGTTCCGGCATGCATATCACACTCTGTTGTGACCTTTGCGTCCCGGCCCTGCGCTTCACACTGTTTTCTCCCCTCCCAATCTCATCGATCCAGCAGCTTTAGAGCTCCACAAAGTAGCAGCCACCATGGCGGAGCAGCTTGCTTCCGTGCCGGAGGAGAGCGCCACCGGCTTCGCGGCTCCCTGCCCGCCGCCCAACTCCTACCGCGAGGATATCCTGAGCGTCGGTGTCGTCTGGCCCGAATGGCGCGTCACATCGACTCACTCCTCCCAGTCCGGTCACAGCGGATCCAACTACTCCAGCGACTCCGGCGCCTCCAGGTCCAACAACTCAGGCTACTCCTCCGGCTCGGTGTTCGCCGGCGCAGCCGACTTGGGTGCCAAGGAGCTCACAAAGATCGCTCAACGAATGTTCAGCGACGGCTACCTCCAACGCATATTCCAAACATTCATCGAGTCATCGTCCTCGCCAGTAGTCCCATACGATGACTGGTGTTCGCTGGAGAATTGGTTCATCGAGCTTGATGCCGACTGGGTTCTCCAAAGACACAACAACCATGATTTACGGCAGCAGCTCCAAGAGGCGCCCGTGTCTCGGCTCGAAGAATTCGTGGAGAGGTGGATCCGAGCTCTCACCGTAATCCTCGCCAGCATCAAAGAGCTGGTCGCTGCCACCCACGAGATGCCAGCAGTTGTACGGTTTGCCAAAGCGAGCATCTCACCGATGCTCGTCTTTGTCGACGCCGTCGTCCATGTTTTCGAGTTGGAGAAGCTACAGGCTGCGCTACACACTTATGTATGCGTCTCCAATGCATCATACGACATGTGTACAATGCACCTGATCTCTTCGAAAGCCCCAAGCTTTTTCAGCGACATAGGCGCCCCGTTGGACAGAGCAAGGCAGAGGTTAAGGTGGGCCATATCAAAGAAGATGTGGGATTTGGTGTTGGAACTTGATCATGATGACTCGTGGCCTATCGAGATTCTGCAAGGAGAAAGCAAGATTCACAAGAACATTCGGTTGGCGGCAGAGTGCATAGTGCTGATGAGGAAAGCACATGCTTCGACGCAGAAGAACTCTGCAGGGAGCCACCACACGGGAGAGCTAATTGGTAACCTGATACATAACACAACCGGTTACCTGAAGCGTCTTATTTTGGCAAAATCGAAGCTGTTCACAAATCCAAGCGTAAGGTACATGTTCCTGCTCAACAATTCCCATTTCATAGCGCAGGTGTCTGAGCCATCGGGGGACCACCAGGGACTTAAACTTACACCTGAATGTCAGAAGCATATGGATAGTTATCTTCATGCTTCTTGGGGGCAAGTGTTGTCATGCCTTCAGAAATCAAAGTTTCCCGGACCGCTCCGTCACTGGATTAGCACCTCTTCGCTAGCTAAATTCGAGACAGTGTTTCATCAAACTTACCAGGCACAGAAGTTATGGAAGGTTCCAGACCCTCGGCTCAGAGATGTGCTGCGGAAAGCTATCACCAGGAGAGTTATTTCAGGTTACCGCAACTACCTGAAGGAACATCCCAGGCTACAGAAACATGTTGGCCGCGAAAGCAGCAGTCCGGAAATTTTGGAGGAGATGTTGGGAGAGCTATTTGAAGGATGAAAACTACTTGAGGCATAGAAAAAGTCACCAGCAAATAAGAGTCTGGACTTGTATTTCATTGTCTTATTTGGAATTATTTGTTTCGTTCTGAATTTCATTGGTAACTTAAGCGTCCGATACTACATCATGTGGTCACATTCTCTGTGTGATTTTATTTGATTTTGTGATTGTATACCAAATACTTATGCGTTCTGCTTCTGCGTCAATTTCATTGATAGATTTCCTTAAAAAAAAAGCAATCATAGATAATAGCCATGCTTTTGACTTTGCACAACATTATATACGCACTATTTTCATCTATTTCAGCAAAAATTCAGCTTGGTTGCCAGGGTCACTCAAACGTATGGGTAGCGCTGTACTGAACTAAGAAATGATAAAACTTCAACACAGAAAATAGTTATATTTTCTATGTAAGTTGATATGTGAAAATGCATTCTAATTTCCTATATATACGCTTGTAATAAGAGTATTAATACACCCGTGGGCGCACAAAAAAACGTAATACAGACACATGCTCAGGATTTGGGACCTGCTGAAACTAAATTCAGAGCTACTGTAGTAAAAATATGTGGGGAATCTGGAGCCAGCTCAGCTGCCTGTATCAGTCACTCACCGTGAGGCCAATGTTGAAGGACTGCTCTAACTTGAGGACTCACTGACTCAGACGTCGTCCTCCGCGGGAGCCAGCGGCTCGGCGGCTCCTGACGAGGAAGGACTCCTCGACGGCGGCCACCTCAGTATCTCCGCCTTCCCTCGCCATCGCCTCGGCGCCGGATCTCGACCCCCTTCTGCACAATAAGAAACGAGCAGAAGGTACAGCGGATGCGGAACACAGACGTGCGGAGGAGAGGACGAGGAGGTCGGGGGAATCGATTCGAGTGTCGAGGACGACGCGACCGCGGAGGCGCGGGGAGGGAAGGGAATGAAGGAGGACAGAGAGCAAGCGACGGGGAGTGGGGCCGCGGAAGGCGGAGGCGACCCCATGCCCATGGAGGAGGCATGGAGCGCGAGCGGCGAGTCAGAGGCCGGGTGCGGCAAAAGAAAACCAGTGAGTAGGAGGACTCCAACTCAGATCAATTCTTGGAGGCATCGTTCAGCTAACCACTTGAGCTCGTCGATCAACGTGACTAAAACGAACACGAATGATTAAAGAACTATTGCAGCCGCGTTATTTATTACGCCAGAAACCTCACATTTTTTATACTTTATATGAGTTTATCCAATTTCGAAAAAAGTTCACGATTTGGAAAAGTTCATCGTTTCTGAAAAAAGATCATCCAATTTGATAAGAAAAGTTCATCTATTAAAAAACGATGTTTGGCGCGGGAGGACGCTGGTTCGATTCCTGTCCAGGCAGCTTCATTTTTTGAAAATTGACATACGCAGTATTGGGCCGGCCCAGCGCGGGGCGCTGCAGGGGCCCGTTTGTAAATTTGCCTATAACAGGCGCCTGCAGCGCCAAATAGGAAATGCCCTATTTTAGCCTTTTTAGCATTGTTTTAGATTTTCATTGGATGGCTATTTTCAGTATTTTCTGGTCTTTCTAATCTCAAAACAAAAGGTCCGAAAGGCCGAAACGGTCCACAATATCCCAAAAGTGAAATCATTAATTCAGGAGTATTCTTTCAAAGATCACTCCCCATCTCCTCGGGTTGTGACAAGTGGCGCACTGCATGCGCGTCACTTGTTGCAACCTGGAAGTTTCTCTTTTTTTTCATACATCCATTTATTCAAAATGTTTTATTTATTAAACCGTGTGTTCAAATCTTGAACCGTTTTTGCCATTGCAATCGTCGCGTCGACATCTTCAAAACTAGATTGATAGGTTTTAACGAACTTCTTTTTGCGAAAAAACGGATCAAAATAACCGGACGAAAAAATTGACCCGGGAGCATGTCTTTTTCTCTTTCCGAAAGGAGCACGGCCGTGCCTCTCGCAGAAGTAAAATTGTGCCTCTCGTGAAAAAAACACGTTTTTTTTTCATTTCCAATAAGCGCAGCCATGCCTCTCAAAACAAAAGGCCCGAAAGGCCGAAACAGTCCACAAAGTCCCAAAGAGCCACAAGGCTGAAAAGCAAATTCGTACCAGCCCTTTTAGCTCGCACGTCACGCCTAACCTACAGCTCAGGCCTTTCGGGCCGGCACGGCACGACCCTTTTTTTAAAGCGCCGACACGGGTCATGCCTATCCAGTCTCTTTTATAGTTGTGTCATGTTGTGCCGACCCATATGGTCAGGTCTGATTGGAACGAAGACCAAACGGTGATGATGCGCATCACTAGTGGGTGGTCCTGCGCGAATATACAAATGGGCCCGACCGAGTATTTAATAAAAAAATCTACCACAATTTGACCGACCCTTACAAAAAAACTACCACTTTATAAAATTTTGTGGAGATCTACCACTCTAGGACTATTTTTTGCAAAAAAAAATACAATCAGAAAAGTTTTCAATTAGGCATTTTAAACCTATTTATGATAGGTCGGGCCTACTCACAAGCGGCAACATGGTAGAGTAGTCTACTCGGCTAGATTGACCATTATGTTGAATGTAAGCATCAATCCTGTTCTTCCCCCCTCGAGTAAATAGCATAAAATTATTACTTTATAGGCTAGAGTTTTAAAAAATTATCGGTTTTTAATTTTTTCAGATAACTACTAAATGGGTGGTTGGCTGTTTCAAAAAACCCAAAATGCGTGTTGTTTAAACATTAAACCTATTTATGACAGATCGGGCCCATCCCTAAACAAACCGTTTGTTTGGCGGTTAACTGACATCTGGGGCCAAAAGTCAGCCATGGAGCAAATAATCAAAGAGATTTGTAAAAAAAAAGCCCCACCCAGGCGAACAGGTGAAGGACGAGGACCAGATCGAGGGGGAAGAAGAACTGCTCCCTCCGCCGCCTGCTCGCCTGCCGCCGGCGATCACCGGGGCTCAACCCCGGCCATTCCTCCGACCCACCTCCTTCTCACCGAGCTCTCCACACCCAACGCCGGGCCAGCGGCCACCTCGTGCTGCGCTCGGCCGCGCGTGGACCTCGTCCCACAGGCAACTCCCGAAGATGCGTACGGAGGGGAAGAGGTCTGCCGGAAATGGCGGCGGCTCCAGGGCACGCGGCGACGACGCCAGGTGTCGCCCCATCGTGGCGCGGCGGCGACGCAGGCGGACCGCCGTGGCAGAAGGCGGCGACCCCAGGTGAAGCGCCATGGCGGTGCGGCGGAGACCCCAGGCCACGCCATGGCGTTGCGCAGACGACCCCAGGCGGCGCGGCGGCGACCCCAGGCAGAGCACCGTGGCAGCGCGACGGCAGCAACTCCATGGCCAGGACATGCCGGCCGGATTGCTCTGCCTGGCGTCCAAGGATCCGATTGCTTTTTAAAAATAATTATAGGAACCTGATTGCTTTTTCAAAAAATTTGGAGGGGTTATTCTGTAAAAAATCTATGAAGGAGACACGGACACGTGGGCCCCATATGTCAGTTAACGGTCAAACACACGGTCAAAGGGATGGACCGTTTAGGTGCGGGCCCGACCTGTCATAAACAGGTTTAATTTTTAAACAACATGCATTTTGGGGTTTTTTGAAACAACCGACCACCCGTTCGGTAGTTATATGAGAAAAATTAAAAACCGGTAGCTTTTTGAAACCCTAGCCTGTAAAGTAGTACTTTTATGCTATTTATTTTCCCCCTCCAAGCATTTTGCTATGGACATTTCTTCAAGCAGCTCGTATCATCGTATGTGTGGTCACTAGTAGAAAAGGGGGCTTTGGTTCAGGCCGGGTAAGCCCATTAGTCCCGGTTTAGTCTAGAACCGGGACCAATGGGTGCATTGGACCCGGTTCGTGAGCCCAGGGGGCCGCCCGGACCACGTGGGCCATTGGTCCCGATTCGTCTGGACCTATTGGTCCCGGTTGGTGGTACGAACCGGGACCAATGGGCCTCGCTCCTGGCCCACCACCATAGGTCCCGGTTGGAGGCATGAACCGGGACCAATAGGTCCCCTTTAGTCCCGGTTCATGCCACCAACCGGGACTAAATGGTTGGTCCTTGTTGCGATTCACAGTTTAGTCACACCTCGCCAACCGAAGGGCGTCCACACTGGTTTATAAGCCCGTCCCTCTCTGCCTTGTTGAGCTCCTCTCAAAATAAAAATAGATGCCCCTATACAGGAAATTTGACCTAAATTCATAAAGAATTTCTCCGAAATTCATAGAAATTGATTATGAATTTAGGTTGAATTTTCTCTATAGGCGCATCTATGTTCATTTTTTTAGTAAAGTTAATCACAAACTTGAGATTCACACAAATTTCAAAGAATTCAAATTTTAACTATTCTAATTTGAAAACTAATGGCACTAACAGAAATTTTATAATTTCGGTATCTCTGTGGAGAAAGATTGTACATAGTAAATATAATACACAAAGTTTTTTCAAATTTGAAAACTAATGGCATTAACAAAAACTTTATAATTTGAGATCTGTTAGAGATAGGTATAAAAGATAAGTAAACGTGTAAAATAAGGTAAAGATAAATAAATTGCAGCAAGGTATTTTTGAGTTTTTGATTTTATAGATCCTAAAATAATATGACAGAAAATAGACCCCGGGGCCATAGGTTTTACTAGAGGCTTCTCTCTTGAAAGAAACATACGGTGGGTGAACAAATTATTGTTGAGCAATTGATAGAAAAGCGCATAGCTATAACGATATCCAAGGCAATGATCATGGATATAGGCTCAACAATAATTTAACTGACTCCATGTAACCCTAGATTCCCCCCCCCGGGTAAACATCGTGTCCCTCGTCTCCTATTACCATCGATCCTAGACACACAGTTCGGGGCCCCCTACTCGAGATCCGCCGGTTTTGACACCGACTGTGGTGCTTTCAATTAGAGATCCACTGTGCCGTCGACGAAAGGCTCGATGGCTCGCCTTGTCCTTAAAGACAACATCACCTCCGGGGGAGCTCTGGCCCCAGGCCAAACTCTCCGGCTGGGC